AAACCTGCAGAAAAGCGCGTGGCCTAGTACCAGCATGTGTGGATCTAAGAACCCTAAACCCCATACCCTCATGCGAGCCTTTTGGTGGCGGCAGATGTCGAATTGGCCGCGCTTTTGGAGGCGGTGCCGTCTTCGGAGCAGACTCCTCTTTGGCAGCCTGTGGGAAATTGAATGTCAGAATCAGTGTCATCCCTCCCTCCTTACTGCCCTCAACGGCAGTGTGACTGTAATCCAGGGGCTCCACCAAGAAACCCTCGAGAACAAATGCCCTAATTAAGGGATGTTGGAGGCTATAACCACGGGTTGGGTGGCGCGATTTTGGGGGCTGTGAACCTAACCCTGGGCAGGGTTGGTGGGAAACAGGGCCGATAGTGAACCAAAGACCTTGAACCGTTGCAGCACACAAACAAGAACGGAAACAGGCCTGCTTCAACCCTGAACTCATAACATGAAGCCCACCTGAAAAATGAACTCCAGTGCAAGGCCAACGGCTGACGGCGAGAAGTCGTCTATCGTCAGCCTACCCCCCTCCCCTTGTTGCCTGAGCTGCTCATTGCAGGTCTTGGCCACGTCGACGCAGTCACTGTCCAGTCGGGGGCCGCTGTGGAAAGTGCGGTGGGTGTGGCTGGTGCAGGTCCTGCCTTGGACCATTGGAGGGTGACGGGTGGCTTGGGAGGCGCCGTGGAGAGTGTGGCGGTGTCGGTTGTTCGCAGGTGCGTGTACCTCAGATGCTGGTGGCTCTGGTGGTGTAGCCTTTTGCAGCACCGTGTAGGGGGCAGGTTTGGCGGGTGCCGAGGGTGGCTCGGCCTGTGCAGGCTTCGCTTGCGCAGCTGTGGTCTCGGGTGGCGGTGGTGGGCTTGGTTTGGCGGGTGCAGTCTGCTTTGCGCCTGCTGTGGTCTGGGATGGGGTGCTGGCGGGGTGCTGTGGGCTTCACGGTTGTCGGTGCTGCTTTGGCGACTGATGTAGCTGGTGGGGTTGCTTTTGGTGCTGCTGCTGTGGATGATGCTGGGCATGGTAGGGCCGGCGGACAACGTTCGGTGGGGGCGACTCTTGCGCCGGTACTCGTCGTCGTTGCCTCGATGTGGCCCTGAACTTCCTCGGTGTGAAGGAGCCAGCTGTGACAGAGGCAGCGTCTTGCGGGTCCTGTGCAAATTGCAGCTCTGCCCTGCAGGTCATGGTCGTCCCTAAGTCTACCAGCCGAAACATCCGGACTGGTTGTGTCTGACATACAGCCGGTGTGTCTCAGGCTCCTAGCCACGTCGCAGAACATCAAGCCAGGTGCCTTCCCGCAGCACCGTGACTACGGAAGTGAAAAACCTTCAGCCGACTGGATCCAACCTCAGCGTCCTTCCTTGGAAACGGACATCGATAGGCCTGTGTCGATGAGGCGCCTTTGCCAGTCATTTGCCGCTGGCTCAAAATAGCCGTTGCCGCTGCAGGCAGAGCTCATGCGAACATCGCATAGCGCTAATGCTCGCAGTGGTCGGCATAGCTGTTTGAGCATGCATAGATGTTGCCGTTTTTCAGGCGAATCAGGACTTTGAGGCTATCGTGCTTAGGTGGGGTCTTTGGGTTGGTCAGTTCTCAACCTCAGTTCTTTTTCTTGTGAACCATCTTTTCCTCTATCCCAGTTCCCAGCTTTCAGGCAGTAGGGTGCAGACAAAAAACACCAATGTGTAGATAGGAGTGCTTTCTACGTACACATAGCACATAATTCGACGACGAAACCGCTTGAAAATTGACACACAAATTAACACAGGCATAGGTAGACCAACATACATATACATATATATATATATACACACACTCATAACTATACATATATGTATGTATATGTGTATATAGACATACATGTACGTACTACTCTCTCCTACTATCAAGATGACTACTGTTCTGCTGAAAACACTGTTCTTGCCAGTGGCCGATTGCTAAGAAGTAATTATCACTGTTCTTCTTACGGGAATCGTGGGTGAACTGAGCTAAAGAATGAAGCTTCGATTTTCCACAATTACGCCTGAAACCCCTTATCTGTACGAAGGTTTCCCAGGAGTGAGAAACATCAGCAGTGACTGATGACAAATGTATTAGCTGACATAACATAAGTGTAAACTGCCTTGGTTGCTCTTACGACCACCGTATTTTATTGTGATGCAAATGCTGGTCGATCTCTCGGTTTGTCATACTCTCGCGCTTTGCATAGCTGAACCCAGCGCTGACCCGAAGACAAGAAGCGGCCATCCACTTCCCCAAGCAGCACCATGCAATGCTTTTGCTTTGGTCGCCCCGAACAAGGCTCGATGGGCTGCCCAAACTGTACCTCTTGTGCATCTGTATCTGATTTCAGCTCCGTCAACCGCGCTTTGACTGCTTGTCCACTCCTCCTCCTCCTCCTCCTCCATGACACGGCGCTTCGCAGGCCAAAAGCAACGAAGATTCGCAGACGGTCGTTTCTGCTACCTTTTACGTCAATTTGGTGAAGTTGATGGCGAAAAGGTGTGGAGTGGACTGGGGCTGGATTTGACAAGGGCTTGGGGGGAGCTGGCGGAAGGATGCAAGTAATCGGGGATACCCATGGGTGGAAACAGGCTCCGCTCATACCCACCGAGGCCACGCAGAAGATTCGCAACTTGGCAGTCGATGGTGAGATTGGGGCCAGCGCGATCCAGTCGCCATACTTTCCCTGGCTGGCCATCGGCAACACCCTAAGGCTACATGTGCCTACCTATTATATAAATATTGAAGCCCTGACTTGCCTGTATAGGAAGCCCTTTAAGGCCTAAGTAGACACTATATAGGTACATGGAGGTTGAGGGTAAGCTTAGGTTGAAGGACGCTTGGAGTTTGGTTGATCGGACTTTGCCACAATACGGGCAGTCTTTGCAATGAAGGCGGCAGCTGAACACCTCGGATAGTAGCAACCTGCCTTCATCGGTACTGCATTGTCGAATTTCAGGCGCCTCTTTGGAAGACTCTTTGGGAAGGTCTCGGAATCCTCTTCGAAGGAGTAGGTCTTGAAGAAGTCTTCGACGAACTCAGACGATTTGAAGTCTTCCTTCATGAAGTCGGGGACCCCAAACAGGTGGATGCGCTTGTTGAGGTCCGCGACTGCCAGCTTGAAGCCAGCTATATAGTAGTTGCATTCTCTTTCATTTTTCGGCAGCACCCACGCCGCAAGGTTCACCGACCTGCTAATTAAGGTGGCGAGGACCTGCCGGACCACGAGTCACGTCGAAAAATGAGCTTGCGATGACTTCACATTCTTCAGGCTCGGCATCCATTGCCTCGAGGAAATTGTAATCGCAAGGCCTTTCGAACAACACCATTCGCGAACAGGTAGGGCATGTTGGAGAGAAAACTTTTGCCTCCACAATGTGAACGCCATCAAACTCTCCCCTCATGCCCAGGCCGGTGTCGGAGTCTGTTTCAGACTCTGCCTCTTCGTCATCGCCCCGGTCTCACATCTCCCTTCGCGTGGCCAGCCGCGCGATAACCGACAACATCGGTAGCTTTCTCACTGCCTTTAAAAGGGTTCCTGACGGCAGCGTCCAGCAGCGCACCAGCGCACCCCTCTTGAAATGTCAGGTGACGTAAGATCTCGAGGAGCGTCGCCTCTGCGAGCATGAGCATGGATGCGGGTGTCGGTGATGCGCGCTGCGCTGCGCGCTCCGACCGGCGCCTGATACAAAATGGCTGCGGAGGGTGCCGCCCCTTCCTGCCTGAGCTGCTCATTGCAGGTCTTGGCCACGTCGACGCAGTCACTGCCCAGTGGGGGCCACTGTGGAAAGTGCGGTGGGTGTGGCTCTTGCAGGTCCTGCCTTGGACCATTGGAGGGTGACGGGTGGCTTGGGAGGCGCCGTGGAGAGTGTGGCGGTGTCGGTTGTTCGCAGGTGCGCTTACCTCAGATGCTGGTGGCTCTGGTGGTGTATATAGCCTTTCATGCCACCATCCAACGCACTGCTAAGGTGGCGAGGAGCTTTCGGATCACGATTGTGCCGATGTCAGGCGGTGGGAGCTCCAGGTCCATGTAATTGTTAACATATTCAATACGTGAACATCCGCCGCTCTGCACCTGCTCACCTGATCATCACAAGCTCGCACGGGTTCCAAGCTGATCCGACCGTCATTGGCGGCAATTTCGGGGCTAAGGCTGCCCACTTGTTCCCTTTGTTCCTAGCCCCGTCCGCTGCAGGCTCGGGGGTCGACTGCACAGGCGATTCACGCTGCACCCGAGAATGATTTTTCTGCTTTGTTGTCTGCACCTGACTTTCTGCGAAAGTGATTTCATCATCGCGCATGTGGAATGGGAGCCCCGCAGCTTCGGCTTCCTCCCTCTCCGGCTCGCTCATCGAAACCCGTGGCGAGCCTCGATGGCTATCATGGGCTTCGACCGTCCGTCCTGGCTGCTTCAATGCTCCTTGGAGCGGTGTGCTGCCCAAAAGGACATCGTCGGATGTCCTTTTGGGCGGCACACCGCTCCAGGCAAGCACTGATTAGCGCAGGTGTCCCGGATAAGTTCTTGCCGACTGCTCGTAACCCATGTGCCCAGTGCGAACTTCTGCTCAAGGCGAAAATGAACTCTCGACGTCGAGGGGGGAAAGCAACAAAATCATGGAAGTGTCCCTTGACCATGTCCATGGCTAGCAGGGGGCACTCCAAATGTACTTCTACTTGGTTCCTCAAAATCACTTGTGCCAAGTCACGGCGGCATGCGGATGGCATGCTAGCCTGAGGCGCCCGCTTCCTGACACAATGCACTTGGATTGAAGTCGTCACGTCAAGGCTGGTGATGCAGAGTCAAACTCTGCTGGCTAGAGTTACACTTTGGCCTCCTTCAGCATCTCGTCTGTGAACTGCCTCTCCATGCATGTGAACGGAAGGCTTCTTCAGATCCTTCTCCTACTGGTTCGGGTTCGGGTGGTGCCCGACTATGGCCATCCTTCTTCCCTCTCTTGATGGGAAATTTCAGCGCCCTGAAGCCGGTTCGTCACATCGAGAGCCCCTTGGCCTCAACAGCCGCTGGCCAGATACGGCCGGTGCCTCAACCTTCAAACCTGGTCCAAGTTCAGCATATGCTGCGGCCAGTATAGCAGTCTCTTGTAGCTGGGTTACCAAAGGCCATGTCCTTCAACAGCGTAGTAAAGTCGGCGTATGCATTTGTGCGAACACGTCGAGAGTTCCTGCGCAGTTCGAGTAGCAACAGGCATGCAGAAACCGGCACTGCTCAGACCAGAAAGTCGTGATTACTCGGAGTGCGGCACTGCGCGACTTCCCAAATAGCAATATGGAGTGCCGCTGAAGGCATCGGAGGCTCTGCACGTCTTCTTTTGCAAACTGCTTAGGGCTGCAGTGGGCAGCAGCGTGGCTAGTGATGACCGATACTTTTCATGCGTGGCTGAACACGCAGTGACGACTCGTGACGACACCATCGCTCTACGTACATCTTCAACACCTCTCGGAGATCGCTCTGATTCCACAAGGCAAGCTAAGCTAGACAGAAGCTTTAGGAAAACCCTGAGAATAGAGAAGGCTGAAGGCAGCGAGAGGATTTGGGGGCTACGAGTACCTTTCTTGGACTCAAAAGGCGCAACAGAGTACAACAACCCTTTGCAGGTTCAGCTGCCACTCGTGCTAGCATCATAAGGCCTGCCACTGTAGATGATGACTCCTTCACTCCAGAAGCCTCGCTTATGTACTTCAAACCCATCTCTCGGACACTCTCTCCACTTAGTCTGAAATCCGAATCTCTGTATGACATCAAGAATCACTCAGATAAATCATATTTCGTGGATTGCAATCTTTGCCTGCCAAGGAAGCTTACAATGCTGGCTCAAGTGTTGGGTAGGTGCATGGGTCCACGTGGCCGGTGCGAACCGTGAATCAGCATGCAACCGTCTTTCAGGCACGGTCCGATGCTTGCCTGAATGTAGGTCTATATGCGCTCAGCAACGCATGCAAAAGCCGACGGCACCATACAGGCGAATCTTGATGTGCCTGCGCTGCTCCGCAGTGGGCAGGGTGTCCAGACCTCGGAATATGGAGGTAAGCCTGTAGCCTGTTCAAGCAATGCTCCCTGAGGCAGGATTGTGATTTTTGGTTCAACCTTCAAAAATTGATGCCAGTAACCCAGGACCAAATATCCTACATTCCGTTCTTGCAGGTTACAGGTTCACATTCTTGTTGACGAATACTTTCTGAATTCGTGATGCTTGCTTCTCAAGTCCTGCTGCATCCCATTGAAAACAGGGCTCACTTTTTGAGACGGCACTATAGCAGTTAGCAGCGACGATCCTATGCCCTAACGAGCACAAACAAAGAAATGAGTGCACCTCTTCTTGCGTCCTGTGTGGACAGACATTCCAAAGGTTCTTGTGAGCTTCGCATTTCATCACCATTCGCCATTAGCCTTTGCTTACACTGTCCACAACGACGACAGCTTCTCTAGGGGTGAAGGGCCTCGGGGTCGCCCCTTCGGCTTTGGCGGCTACTTGAGGCTCCATGTTAGGCTTGAGCCTGCTTTGAACTCTAGACCTTGGCGGGTTGTAATTGCACTGTTTCGGGAATCGGAGGGTGAGGATAGCAGGCTCTGGTCTAAGTAGCTCAGTGTCTTGGTGGCTTTTGGTGGCATTGGATGATTGTGCGCTCCGTTGTGGTGTCTCCAGGCCTCGAGTTGCCATTTCACGATTGTCGCAGCGCATCGCAGTGCCTCCTCGTGTCCGAGCTCTGTGGCGAGGTGCATAGTTATGGCATAGTTTGGGCTCATCTCACAGTATTTACAAACTCCCGGTGCGTCTGCATCCACCGGAAAGTGCGATTCACACGGTCCTTTCCGAAAAAAACTGTGTTGCGTCGGCCCCGGCCCCGAAAGTCAAAACGCACGAATCCCGCCAGTACCAGCAGGTGCCAGACGCATCAGGCCAGCGTTTATGCAGCCATAGACGCCGTAGTCATCATTGTAAAACGCCTGCGACATGCCCAAAGCAAGCCAAAACCGTAACAAACGCTCAGCCGACTGAAGAGCACCAAACCTCGGCTGGGATCTCCTGCCCGTGCGCCGCTTGGTCACGGTTCCTCGGAAGATTGCAGTGGGTTCAGGGTTTCTGCAGGGTCTAAGGCGAGCTGTTGGATTCCTTCTGACTTTGGCTTCCGATCAGATACGAGCGAAAGTGAGATGAGGATTGTGGCTACAGCAATTCCATCGCAATTCGAGAGTTTGCAGATAGTCACAACTAGCGACATTGGAGCAAGCAAGACTACAAGATCAAGGCACTAGTCACTAGCTGGGATCCCGTGCCAGTGGCCATGGTACATGCCCGCCGGCGCGGTGACCTGCCGGCATCTTTGTTAATCATGTCATCCGGGCAGCGGTGACAAGCATGGTTAACCAAAATGGAGAGAAGTTCTTCCACCATCCCCGATATCCCCCAGCCCTGGAGCGGCTCCCATCGGGCTGGAGTGCTCGGAAAAACACATAGCAGCATAGCAGATACAACAAGAAAACCAAGACCGCACACACACACACACACAGCCCACAAGCATCTTCGAACACACGCACACGCACACACCCTCACACTTACACTTTGGAAGCAAGCTCACTGGTTTGGAAAGTGAAAGGGGCAAGTGGCAAACAAGCAAACTCAGCTGCAACAGCAACGGTGAAACTAGTAGAAAGTTCAGAGAGAAAGATAAACAGTATGTAGAATGTGGACACGCATAGAAGCGCAAACAAGGACGAAGCCAACATGCATACTAGTGATGCGACAGAAAAGTCTAACCGAATGAAGAACAAAAGGGATCATGAACATGATATCTGTGTAACCGATGGCCGACGAAACCCAATTGGGCGGCTTGCCCGTAACTTGACTTTGTTGGTTGTCGAGCAAAGTCCCCATAGAACAAGGATGCTAACGGCTAACGAATATTATAGAACCCCTCACCAGTGCAGTTCACAGGCATGGGTTGAAAATGGACGGACCTTGACCGGCTGTGCTGCAGCTTGGCGCACTGTGGCACTCCGCAGAACAAGGAAATCCACCCCTACGTCGACCCTACGTCGAACAACGCCTTCGATGTCGATGTGGAGGGAACTCAAGCGAACCTCCCACCGGCGACGGGGATAGGACGAGAGCCGGTCTCCAGCACACGCGCTCGAAAGGGTAGGAGGATGTAAGAGGCTGCGTTCTGCTTCGAAAGCAGGAGGGTTTGCGCTGATGTCTAGGCATCAGGTAAAGCTTCCGATCTCCTGGGCGCGTTCCTGCGCAGGTTTGCGCTGATCTTTCTGGGTAAACGGTACCCGGTAAAGGTAATGCACTGAATCTCTGGGCCCGGGCTTCCGACGCAATGCTGGTGGCCTCAAAGCCGTGTGAAGCAAAGTCACCGACAGCACCACAACCTCACTCAGCTACTCACGCACTTACCCACAATCCCTTGCTCAACGACTTGTGAACAGGATTGGTTCGACTCACCCAGGCTTGGGGTCAGTCCGTGACCGAGGTTGCCATCCACGAGTGAGCCGCCCACAGTACGACCGGGCTACTCGTACTTCAATGAGTGCTCTGCGCGCCTGGAACAGCTCTTTCGGTGAGGAGCGGATCTGAGCACCAAATCGCGCTTTGGTTGTCAACGTTTCAGAAGCCAAAAAGAAATTTTGATGTAGTTCGTGTGCAGCGTGGTCCGTTGCATGTTTCATAGTTCACACTACGGTTCAAACGTTAACCCAGGTGGAAGTTGCATCTTCACTTTTCAAGAACGTGAGCCGTATGAAAGTTGTCGTAGGGGACTCGCAGGTGGTCGCATCAGAAGGCTTGCTCCGGACTGCTTGCTGAATTCTTCTCCAATGGCGGCTGCCAAAGTCATCAGCCAGGGCTTTCTCAAGTCTCACATCGTTTCACCACAAGCTACAGCCATTCTGGCACCCGAAACTCTGAAAGCTCCCGGCAATGATGTCCAGGTCGAAAAAGATGAGCTTCCTGTAAGGGACCTCCAAGCAGACAAAGGCCCTATCTTCGCCATCAGTTCGACAAACGAACTCCACTCTGACCATCTGTTGGTGACGCAACAGACACAGCAATAAATCGGCCTCACAACTAGTTGTATAGTCTTCTTTTACTATAATTATAGTCAGGACCCCCCNNAAAAAAAAAAAGAAAAAAAATAGTACAGCCAATTATTCAGGTCCAGACTTCCACAATAAAGGGGAGGCAGGATGTCTCGGCCTGCTCAGTTGTGTGTCTCCTGGTTTCTACTACTTCCAGTCGTGATTCAAAGGTAGGGCTGTCGTGAAGACTTGGAATGGCTGATGAAAGCTGAAGTTTTGTGACCAGACTGTCTAGGAGACAATCACTTCCAAGTCAGTGCGAGGCCATATAGCACACATAATCAAATATCATATCATATTATAACAAAAACCGTCAGAATCTTCTTTTAATCTGATCACGGCTCAACTTGCTTAAGTCTTGGAGGCTGCACTCTTCTGGCCCCACCTCGGACCACTCGGCACAAAACTGACCCACTCGGCCTGGAAGGCGCGGAGCTTCGTGAAGACGTAGCGGTGCCGCCTGACAAGAGCCGGTTTGTAGATGCCCCGATTCACATGCCTGGGAGAAGGGCATTAGGATTTTTTTGCCTCCCACCTAGCTAGGACGAGTTCGGGGTAGATGGTGGCAGCCATAAACCCATGAATGCAACGGCTGTAACACGGAGGATGTGCGGAAACATTCCACTTCTTGCGCGCTCATTTCAAGGGTGTTACTTTCAAGCCTTCCAACGAAATCTGCTGACTTAGCTCGCACGGAACTGCCGAGATCCTGCAATGCTCCTATTATAGGGGCCTTTTTTTTTAAATTACCTGTACTATTTTGGGGGTTCCTTATTATCATTATAGTATAGTATACCCAAAACCCTATTCTAATTTTTAAGGCCCCTATATTCCACAGAAACCAAGGGAGGCCAGGGCTCTGGCTTCCGCCGCGTCTTGTCCTCACCGGCTTTCGCTTGCAAAAGGAGCAGATTCAGATCCCTATTTTGGGGTCCTTATAATAAGGATCCTACTATTTAGGGTACTATATTAGGGTGCCCTACCAAACAGACCCTTCTGCAGAATCTTCTCGGGGTCCACCGAGCGCCGCACCGCGGCTTCCTGGTCGACAAGGTCGACCTCTGCCACCTTGAGGATTCGGGGACATGTGCCAGGATTCATGATCCACCCTCCCAGCATCTTGTGAACCTTGCCATTCCCCCGTGCCCCACTGGCCTCCCAAACGGCATCCAAGCACTTGCGGTCATCACCTCGATGGGAGTCCAGTTGTGTCTGATGTGATACCAGTCTGACCTTTCCGCTCTTGTGTCATGTCTGGCCGGGCGGCCGTGCTCACGGCACCGGCAACAAGTAACATTAATTCTCTCAGATCTCTCTTGTCATGTCGGGCCGCACAGTACTGAAGTCCAGTGTAAAGGACTTTAGTCGCAAGCCACTACCAAAGTAGGTACCTAATCATAAACAGCAAAGCCTGGCACAATAAATGAACCTCCTGATTCTTTGCCGCTGCCTCCAAGCGCTCACCAGTTTTCTTTCAACTCAAACGAACCTCTGGTGCAGGCTGTAGGGTTTCCGGTGTCACGTTAACGCAGTTTGCAGACCGAAGCCGAGAACTGCCCTGTCGTTCAAGCCTTCAGCGCACAAGTCCCCAAGGCGCAAGCCCTGGACAAAGGGCGACGACTGGTCGGGCCTGACAAGCCGATCAGCAGAAAAGGATGCGAGTCCTCCCACAGAATCCGTTGATGGCATGGACTATCGTATGACTAGGCTTCACGCATCCACGATCCCTAAGCATGTCAGTCTGTTCATCTGAGGGCCGAGCGCTTCCTTGCCCACCAGCCTCACGAGGTTTGGCTTCCCGAAAGAGTGATGCGACCATCTGCCCAGTTTAGGTCGAGTTGGCGAGGACCCCCACTCTGGCCGTCGACAGGCGAATGGCCGCAACTCTCCGAAAAACCGAAGAAACCAACCCTCAATTCAATTTCGGCTCTCTCTTCGAGAAACGTGGAGTCTGGGATGTCTGTTCCGAAGATCCACAGTCCCTCTTGTACTACCATTGTTTACAGGTACGGCGCGACGGCCTGAAGGTGGCAAATCTCTAGGTGCAAGGGCCTTCTGCTTGGGGCCTAGAAGCCGCCATATTACAGTTTGGGGTTTAGGGCGTATGTTTACTTACTTTCGTTGTGTGCCGTGTTGCCCTGCTTCGAACCCAAGTATGAACCTCCAAGCCCCTGCATCCTTAAGACCCAAACTCACCAAAAACAACATACAAAGCTGCCCAGATCCCCAAGTATGCTCGAGGTAAGGAGGGAGTATCCCAAGTGATCGTGCCCACGTCCCAAGCCGAGGCCCTGACAGCACCCGTGGGGTGTCAGCGTCGACCTGCCTCAACTTGAAGCCCAGCCTTGTAGCGCTCAGCTTCTTCTTCGGATATGAAAAAAAGGAAGGGTTCACTTCAGGCTCGCAGGAGGTGTCTCTTCGGCTGCATCTGGTTGATATAGGATTCATGGGTGCGAGATTACTTGTTCAATTGCGTATAAGCATTTGTGGCTACGGTTTTTTTTTGCTGTTTTACCCATGACCCTACTTTAATGCTTCCGCAAAGCGGCTTTTCCAGCTAATGTAGGGGCCTCAATAATGAGAATAGGGCTTTGGGGCCTTCTATACTATACTTATAATAGGGCACCCCCAAAATAGTATAGGTAATGATGACTGATTCAGTCTTCAGTGAAGGCTCCTATATTCAGTACGTTATTCTTTTCACAAGCACGAAACCCAAGCCAGCAAGGCGATGTGCCAAGGACAGCGAATCTGCTATTGTCAAAGAAAAGCTGACACCACAACTCCGAGACTCAAAAACCCCTTTTTCAGCGACTGAGGTGCCGGCCAGCGCCCATGCAACCCTCACAAACCCTAAACCCTGAAGCTACAGACCCTAAACCTGGAGCACTTGGAGGTCTGCCTGTTTCTGTTTTCTGCGGGCTCTCGGCTGTCGGCATAAGCTGAGCTACGCCAGATAGGCCCTTCCTTCGCGGCTCTGGGCCCTGAGCTGTGCTCGGATGTACGATCCTTCCCTCGTTTTCGGCGGGGTTTGCAGGGTCGTATGGGTTTATTGAAGGTTAGACCTAAGGTTAGATAAGATTGCGGGCTATTTCTTCCGCGAGTCCTAGAAGAAGTAATCAGAGAGCCGTCAGTATCGGCCCAGGCATCTTTAGATTGGTAGGCTCGGCTTCATGCATTGGCAGCAGACGGAATGAAGAAGCCTGAATAATCACCAAGACTTTGCTGCTGTAAGTATACACCCAACCCCACCCCAAAACTCTAGTGTGATTGCTACTGTTGATGATATAAATCCTGCATAACCTTAAGGGCCCTAAACTATGGGAATTATGGCCTTTTCCTTATCATGGGTTATGCAGGATGAATATCATCAACCGTAGGGCCCCTATAAAAGTCCTAAGCTTGATCCACCCCTTCAGGATGGCAAAGGTCCATCCGCACCATGGCCCCAGGGAGGCCTGATATTCCGCGGAGCTGCGCGAAGCGTCGACCAAAGGCCACCGTCGTCTCGAGCTCTCTGCGTATGATGGGGCTGTGAAGTAGCAGCATTATAGGTGAGATCACAGTGGGTGACCTTCGATGCTCTTTGCCGCAGCTCACTGTCTAGAAACTTTCAGCACGAACCTTCGGTTCGTGAATTGTTGGGGCCTGTCCTCTGGGTATGTGGTGAAATAGGATGGCAAGAAGATCCGAACTGTATGGACAGAAAGAACGTGCGTCTCTCATTTCTGCGTGCGCCGACCACCACGCCCAACTTAGGCCCATTGCCCTTGAAGGCTTTCACAAGCCCTTCTTCTCAGGAACCTGTTCCTCCGGCCGCTAAGCAATTTAAAATAGACTCGCTTAGGACCGGTGCCAACCAATCGCTTTCCAGCGCAATATCAACATCGGAAAGGGATGCTGGACTTCATCAGCTGCCTGTTTTTACTTCACTGATTCCTTTGCACAATGAAAGGGACCGGCCACCATCTTTATACATCACACTCCATGTGCCAGCCATGCTCCGCAGATTTCGTCAATCGGGACATGTTCCCCTGTCGAGACGACAAGAATCAGAATATATCAGAATTGAAACCGTATTAGACTAGAGGTCTGCGCACGCCAGGCACCACAGGCTCGTCACTAGTGGCACTTGAAGCGTTTTAGCTTCTCAAATCTGCGGCTGCATAAAGGGGGGTTGTCTCTGGTGACTCTGGTCCATGCGATGCCTCTAAGACCTAAGACTCATGTCGAGCTGGCTTCAGACTTATGACTTCAAGCACGGGCGGATGCCCGTTGTGCTCGCCGGTCGCCGGCCTCTCAGTTTGTGAAACCACCGGGTCCCAGAGCATGCGCAACATCCCGCTTCCTGCTGGTTCGATGGCTGCCATTCTCTTCCGAAGCCACAAAGAACTGCCTCAAACCGTGTCCGATCCTACGCGGTTGCAAGCCCTGACCCGGCCCTGGAGAGATCAATGCACACTGACCGGCCCTACACCACAAGTCCAGGGTTTAGGGTGAAAGATATGGTTGCAGGCTACAGATAATATAGACGCCCGCCCGCCTAATTTTGTGAGACCACCACGAAAGCATTCGCTGCAGCGAAGCTTGCGGAAGAATGGAGGCTTCCTGAGACATCCGGTGGTTGCAAGACTCGTCTGAGAAGTTGCGCTACGTAATCTAAGGATCTCAATAACTGAAATGGGCTTGTGGGGTACATAGCCGCACTTGTATAGAGATCTATGTATTCCTCTCGCGCTTCCATGCTTTCAAGTTGTTCGTCAGCAACAGCATAGAGTAGTTGAAGTGTAGTTGAAGACAAACAAGAGTTTCGAAACCAATCTGTGTTTAACCAGCAAAAAATACACACGGTGCCATATTCCAGCTCCAGCTTCTGCAGGATAGGCGCGAGTGAACTGGCAGCCAGGCCTGCACCGGAGCTGGAGAGACCGCGCGTGGGCGCAGCGGAAGGGAGGCCAGCGCATGCGTCACTGGCACGGCGTGAATGGTCCTGCATATCCGTGCAACGAGTCAAGCAGGGAGGTGCAAGGGCCGCTACATTGCATGAGCCACGTCCACTACATGACGTCCTGTGCGAAGCGGAGGGCGACCTCACTGCCGCTGGCAGCGCTGGCCCCGTGGCCGTCGGGGGCGATTTAGGCAGTTGCATGGGGCTCTTCGGGGAGTGTGGTGGGGCCCCTGAGGCACAGATGCCTGCAGCGAACCAAGGAGCCGGAGCCTTGCCCACAGGCAAGGCTTCCGCCCCACGTTGCTCACAGCGTGGCGAAAGCAGCGCCGCCGCTGTGGCGATGGAAGGCGGCATCGTTCGCATCAACTTAGTTCCCAACTCCCAATAAAATGCGGTGTTCTCTGTGATAAGTAGGTAGTTTTTGGCACTCGCGATAAGTAGGTAGTTAGGTTCTGCCATCACCAATGAATCCCAGGCGCCTGTGGGGAATGCGTGAAGGAAAGCCGCCGCGATGCCGGGATTCCAGCAACGAAACGCTCGGACGTAGAGGACAGTCTTTGTGCTCCAGCTGGCACTGCCTTACTCCAATGCTTAAAACGTGGAAGTATGGGAATTTTTCTACGTTCCCGCCAAGCTGCGGTGGCAGTTGGGCTGACCGTCTTCAGCTTTGCCTCCGCGGGCTGGGCTTCTCTTCTGGGCACCTGCAAGACTGCTGGACTGTGTACTGGACTGTATAGAATATATTATAATGTAGTATAGTATAGTACAGTATAGTATACTATATTATACTATAATATATTGTATACTACATTATACTATATTATATTATAATGTAGTATAATGGTATGGTAGAGTAAAGTATGATGTTAACTCAGCCAGCTGCTTGCTCGCAGGTCCTTTTAGAGCACTAGAACGCAACCAGGCCGGCGAACGACTGTGCCAAGCCAAGCCTTAATACAATATAATAATAGTTATTATTATTATTCTTATATAAGTATATATAAATAATATAATATAATAATAGTAGTTATCCGAAGGTTCTTGCAAGCCAGCCTCCGTGGAAATCCTGCACGGAACTGGCTTCTGCTGCGACGCCAGCTGCGCCACTGAACCTGCCAAGGCGACAGTCGCAGCGGGCGATGTCTAAGAAGCCCTCCAGACGTCGGGAGGATGCAGCAGCGCCCTTTTTCAAGGACAGTGACAGTTGACTTGTTTCTGCTCGATAGACAGAAACAGGCCGCGCGTCTCACAACTTCGACAACTGAGCTGTCAAGACACTTGAACCATCAGCTGGCCATAGGTTTCTAGTAGGATGCCTTTCGCGCTGCCCTCCGTCATTGCAACTCTTTCTGTTGTTGCTGACGGCTCTTGTATGTAGGGCCCGCCTTAAAAACGTGGCATCACTTATTGAGAATAGCATGCTTGCTACCAATCACTCGCCTCTTTTGGGCCAGCCACCGTGTCCCTGATTACCAGTGGCTCTATCCCACCATTCGCTGAGTGTCGTTTCTGTCTTTTTCGTCGTTTGATCTCCTTAGTTCCGCTCGTCGTCGAGCCCTTTCTGGTGCTAAGCCTTTTTCTTCTGTCCTTTCTCCCCTTCGCTTCCTTGCCGCTTTTTCCTTTAAAGCTTTCTGTCCACCCCTCTCAATTTTCTATTCTTTCTCCCTGCTCTGGGCGCCTCAACGCCGAGAACCAAACCCCTGACAGGAAGAAAGTACCTTCTTCAATACACTTTTTTTTGCATATGTAAGTAGGTGTATATATATATACACACATATACAGATACATATACTTATATATCTTTCTATTTCAATGTCTATGGTTGCTTGCTTGCTTGCTTCAACAGCTGCTCTTTAACTAGTCCCAAACTCAGCCCGAGCCACTGCTCTCGGGCTGGCCTTCCTGGTCGCGCTCCGCCTTCCAGGCCAAGGGCTTTCTCCACAGGCAAACATGAAACTAATGTTAAATCCGACTAGAAACAGAAGGCCACAAATGTTGGGCTGTTCTTACAGTATAGGCATTCTACTTTATGTTTCTTGTCTTGTTGCGGGCTGTTTGGCTCCAGATGCCAGTTTGTCAAGACTGCTGGCCAAGCCCAACAGCCTGAAGTGACCAGTTCGTCCGTAGGCTAAACTTAGAAGACCCGGGAATTTCGTATGTCGGTTACGGCGAAGGTTGCAAGCTCGGCTCCAGATCTTGATGACTTCTGTGACTCACAGAGCTCCCAGAATCTCACTTCTCTGAGTTCTTCGGGCCCTTTGAGCCACGAAGGCTCGGAATCCAAAGGCCCTGCACCTCGCGGCTTCGGCTTCTGGAGCCCAGGGGCCGCTTCATCTGCGCCGAGGGCCTGGGCGATCAGAAGCTGACATTCCTAACACCACTCGGAAATTGATGCTGCGGTACCCCTACTGCTATTGCGGATTTATGCCAACAACAACACCAAGTACTACTACTACTACTACTACTACTACTACTCCTCCTGCACCTGCTGTACCGTTGCTCTGTGTTCAAGCCCCTGACATTGTCGTCTGACATACTAGTATGAGAGATCCGAACCGAATCTCTTCGCGCGGCGCCAGGATTCCGGTACACTGGCCTTCGAGCCCCGCGGAGGGAGATTCTGCACGGCTGCCCTGCATCCGTGGTACCAGTAACGCGATAGTACAGTATGATATCCCAAAGCAAGTTCTACTTGATGGTCGCCTCAGGTAGGGTGGGGCCTTAGGCCGGGATTCTTAAACATATATGCTTGAGGCAAGGCACTGAGAGGGCTGTGCCGGCTGCCGGCATTGCGCCGATGATGGCGAGACGTGTACGCCAGCAACAATGTGGGCTTTCCTTTCAATGTCGCGACTGGGGATGTGCCGGGAAACTTGCAAGCCCAGGAACTAAACAAACCAGGCTGTTTGGAAATACTTGTGGCTGTTGGATGCTGTTGGCCAAAGTAGTTATGGATAGGTATGGTCTGGCAGACAAACCCGAGCATCAACGTGCATCACCCTGCTGCCACTGCCGAGGGCAGCTTAGCGGGACTGACCATCACAATCCTACAAACACGCGCAAGCCTTCCAACCGTTGTGTGACCATCTTTCAAAACTGCTTAGACCAACCAGATTCGACGATGCTTCGTCTGAAATTCGATTGAAGGCCAGAAAACTTCCTCAAAGCCTTGATGCGACCCGCTCCCTCAAAGGACCCTTTTTTTCACAAGGGACTCTGCTGCTGCCCTTACTGCCCAGCTTGACCCACAAGACAGTACTCATGACTGAGATGCGTTGAGGACCCTAAACCCTGAATCCTACCGACCCTAAGCCCTAAACCCTGCAATCCGCGTCGCGGCTTCATCTCCGGCTTCGATTCTTTCGACTTGTCGGGTTCCCGGTCCCTGAAGTGCATTGAAGTTCATAGGGTTTAGGGTTTAAGGGTTTAGGATTGAAGGTTCAGGGATGTTTAGGGGTCTAGGGGTTAAGTTTAAACACCGGGAGGGCTGGCCGGTCGGGATGGGACTTCAAGAGTACCTGGAAGCGAAGATGAAGGTGCGCAAGAGCTGGAGTATCGGTGTAACATGTTGAAGCCCTAAACCCTAGGCCCTAGACCCCAAACCCTGTTGAGAACTTCGGGAATGGGTCGCTGGCATGCTGGAAGATGCCTCTCCCCACCCTGTGAGGTCGGTTCTCGTGGGGTGGGGGGCCGTCTCCAGGGCTTTCAGAAGATGAATTATATATATATATATATATAATAAAAAAGTATATATACTCTGTCTCCCTCTCTCTCTACATATATATATATATACACACACAGACACTGTATGTTACATATTATGTGCTGAACAAGGCACCACATCTTTTGCAGGTGCTGCCGGAGCCTCGGCTGGGGCTTGCGGATTCCGGAACACCGGCACCAACACACCCAGATAAAACGGTCTGGGGTTTCGACTCTCGCTCTCGCACAAGGCAGGCAAGGCTCCACACAATCGCGTCACTCAAGCAGGCAGCTCAGCATCTCGACTTTTGGGGTTTAGGGTTTAGGGGTGCAGTGTGTAGAGATAAAGCATCCACAACTTTGGCACCAGTGCTAACTGTCCTCAGAAAATTCCGAGCTGCTGGTTGTTTCCCCATGGATCCACCTCTGCGTCAGGGGCTGCCACGTACTTCTCGTGGCACCACTCTTCCTCGTCCTCCTGGAATACACATGTGTGCTGCCTTGTTGCTTCCGAAAACAGAGGAGTATGCCGTGAGCCACAAGGCGGCATACAGTATACACATACGTGAGGCTGGAAGAGAGAGACTTGGGCTTCAATGGAAAACGGACATAGCATCCCAGCAGAACAGAGAAAACTAAGAAAAATGGCAGAGATGAAGCTAACCAAATTTCAATTGCTGCCGCTGGTTGGTTCGGACATAGCAGCCTCAGGGGCAGTTAGCTTCAAACAGACTGCAATGAGCACCATGTCCTGCTCCGCAACTTCAGTGCCGTAGATCATGTTGTTCCTCGGCTCATCTACACTTCAGCCCAGTAGCTTCCTTGATGGAGTAGCGACTATTGCATTGCTGCTAAGGATCCGATGTAGCCAATCTAGGCTTCCCACCCAACCAGCCTGGACAGCAAGAAACTTTCGCAAAAGCAGTCATACTCGCTCTCTAAAGTTCGGCTCCTCAGCCTCAGGTAGGTGCAAATGCTCGGCATGTTGCTGCCAAATGCCACAGCTGGCAGCGGACATGCGCAAACCTCCCCGCAAAGGGCCTGGTGCTCCGCATAGAGAGTGAAGGCACGACGCCAACGCGAGATGCGCCAGGCGCGCTGAATCCGGGAGGCCGCGACGTGAACATAAACGCCGGGTCCTAGGATCGGGATCGGACGAGATCCTAGGCCCTAAGCCCGAGTAGAACCCTTACTGGTATCAACCGATGGGTACTGGAGTCTGAGGCGCATCGATGCATGTCTAGCCGCATGTCCAGGCGGAAAGGGCTTTTGGGGCGTGTTTAAGTTTTGTTTCTTGGCTTGTGTAGGGGCCTAGTGGCCTTAATATCTAGAATGGTGATCTGGGGTGCATCATCGGGCAACATAGTGCAGTTATGACGAGGCACCACACTAGCTTTTCGGGGAGTTCTCCTTGGGGACCTGTGTCTTGCCTTGGTCTCTCACAACGCCACAGCGCCTCACTATGGTACTATTTCAAACCTCCCGTTTTGATGGTACATAATGCTGGAGATGCGGCAATGTCACAACAATGCGACAGCGAAACAATCCCAATCAAAGTTAACGAAAGCCGCGAGCCTTTGTACATTGCATGAAGTAGCCCAGCGTCGTTTGGAAAACGGCTGATTGCTGGCACACCTGAGATGAAGCAGTACTTGATCTACAACTACCTTGCATAAGCCGAGATCTATTCGGCAGCTCCTGCCTCTCTGTTCATGACTCGAAAATGCACTGAACAAGTCATAATTGAGCATGCTCGGCGCCCCCAAGATTGCCGAATCGAGCCATGATACCTCTTGTGCTGCGCCCGCGCTGGCTTGCGCAGCTTTGGCCGCCTCAACAGGCCAAGACTCGGAGTGCAGCACCGGGGACCCCCTTTTTTCATGTCCATCAAACATATCAACGGAAAGCATCGCATGATCATACTTGATTTGCACAAGACTTTAACAGAATTTTAAATCCGAGGCCGCCGGCCGAAGGGCCTAAGAGAGAAGTCCGGAAGGTTAAGCCTCAGGGGTGGAGTAGCGTAGAAGCTCAGACGCTCCCCTGCCTGCTCGGATTTTCTTGATTTGACTCCGGGCACTTCGCCCGTTGCTACGTATGCTCCCTTACTTGCAAGTGTGGACACTCCACTAAGAATCCTAGGCCCTTACCGAAACTTTCTGGGTTGGATACCAGCACGATTCGATTCAGTCCCACCTCCGTTGACGCCAAAAGCGCTGAACAATCAGTGCTGCGGCCGTGCGCACGGCATCGCGGCAGCCTGCGAAACAACAACCGGAGCTCCATGCCTTTTGGATCCGCAGCTCTAGAAAAAGTCTGAGCATTGTGGGGAATGGGGCTTCAAGGGCTTTCGGAAAGCCCGGAGCAGCAAAGTCGCGAAAAGAACCGTCAATTTAGTCCGGATCTTGCTCGAATTTCAAGTGCTCCTCGTGCTTTTAGACGACCCTGCTGTAACCGTCTTTCACCGATCGCACCCTCCGAGCCTAGATCGCGTGGAACGCCCTGAGCACAAGGAGTGGCAGAAGGCTTCGATGGCACAATAAGGGTTCTTTCAGGTTGCTTCAGTGTGTTTCAAGGGTTGTTCAAGGGCTTTAATTTACCAGGGCTCTATGAGGGTTGAAAGTCGACCGAGCCTACAAGTGCGTGCTGCATTGTGTATACTTAAACGCACCGGCGCCATGTTCGCTTGCAGACAACACGCTATCCAGAGAATGCACAGAGCTTGGTTTTCGTGGGGCGAAAGACCTATGCGGCAGCTTCGAATCCGCGGAAGTACTGCGTCACGCAACATTTTCTGCGTGTCTGCAAAGTGGGGTGGACTCTCTCCTGAGCGGATTTGACCATGGTCTTAAAGGGCCGACAGAAACACCGCTGGCCCTGAGGTTTTGGACATGTCTTGATACGGGGAGTGCAGGAAATGCTGCGAATGCCACTTTTTCTGCAGTAGCAGAAGCAGCAATAGCGCGAACGTGCTGCTGGTGGGTAGACTCATCACCACTATAAAGGGCTAATTATTCTGAATCATAAAAAAACAAGAATAGTCTCAGGCCCCTGGAGTAACAGAGTGCTGGAAGCGGCCGAGAGGCGGCCGGCGCCTTTGTGGGCAGCGTCGGTTCGCGGAAGTCCCGGGACCAGCTGGGCCGGGAGTTGCGCCTTACGTGGAGGGTTTGGGATCGGGGATTCTGAAACCGGATGGGGATTCTTATAAGGTTGGGGTCTGTATTCGGTGTCCTCTGAATTCTTGGAATCGCAAGATTTCTACTGATAGTTAATTTGGGCTCTCAAGTGCGGGCCGCGCGGGTACAGCTTCCAGCTACAGAGCCTGTGCTCCGGGATATGCTGGATCTCTTCGGCATTGGATGCTCTGAGCCTACGAGAATCAATCCGGACAGAAGAATGACAATCTCTGATATCCTCTACTTTAATGCGTTTGTCGAACCTGCAGTGCTTGAGCTACCTGGCTCGGAGCTGAGCTGCAACTGCGTGAAGCTCTCGCTGTGCCGCTGCGGAACGTGAACATTTTGTGACCACTTCCTTGGCTGCTTGGGTAATCAAGGTTCCCGCCCCAGGACAAGGTTCGCAGACTACGGCCTGTAGGCAAACAGTCCCAGAAAGGGGTCTTCGACTGTCGAATCAAGCTACTGAGGTGGCGTCTGAGTCATGAAAAGAAGGACGAGGACAAAATGCACCGAAAGGTATAGCGAAGTCTGCTGGCAGCGAATGGTTCTGAGTCGTGTGTGGAATGTAGGCAAGCTGAGGCTGGAATCTAGCGCGCGTTGTCGCCTCGTAAATATCAGCCTCCGGCAGGGACCCATCGGAGAGAAAGTATGTGCGGCCGTCCTGTGCGTTACAGTCCATCTAGGCATGCAGCGTGGAAAAGTCGGCCGCCGTACGTTGTCTTGCGAGATCTGATCACAACTGGCAAAAACTCTTACGGTACAGCTTTGTAATGGTTTGTAAGTATCATATGCGCATGTACAAAGAAATATGCACATCCACCTTTTTTCGAACGCGTGTGTTTGATTCAAAGGCCATGCTGCGGCTTCTCGAGTTCGCAGAGAGGCCCCGACTCGGCAGGGGCGGCACTGGGAGGCAGCCTTGGGAATGATACAAAAACGACCAGAACAACTGCTCCTGCTGCTGTACTTCTACTGCTTGGCTCCAGGTGTAGCTGTTTCAAGGTGCATTATAAGCACTTCGACTCTTGGCAGACTCTGTCACTTTGATGCAAAAGAGGGTCCTGCGATTGCCTGACGGCGCTGACTGAATGCATAGGCGCCACATGATCAGGACACAAGACCAGGATAAACAAATGAATGGTCGACACCTGCATGCCAACCGCGAAGCATCTGCTCGACGTGCAGAAACTGGAGCGCCTGGCGGAGACGCAGGGCTTTTTGTCTCGCATCCTTGTTTGCCTTCGTGCCGATGGTCGCACCGCACCTGAGCCTGCTGGTGCTTCATTCGCAGATCAATCGCTGTCTAGTCCCGGCCTGGTCCCGTTGGGGTCGCCGCGGCGTAGTGTCTCGGACGCGGCTCGCAGCCACTGGAGATGGGCCCTTGGAAGCGGCTTGGAGCTGTCGGATCTTCGCGATTTGTCTCAGGTGTCGTACTATGTTACTGTTGGATGCTGTCTACTTCTTGACACGTACAGGAAGCATATTCAAAAATCGTGGGCCGCTGGTCGGTGGACTCGGCATTCATCGGCCTGTTGACACGAAGGCCTTCCAGCCCCTGGCTCAACAGAGGCAAGGTGCGTTGCAGCTCAGCTTCGGGGAAATACTCCTGGCAGCCGACCTTGTCGCCGGCGTGCCCGATGCGGCACGCGCCTTCCCGCAGCGATTCTAAGACTTCTTGGTATCCGAGCACATGACGGATAATCATAATGACGATTGGGCTTCGGAGTTTGTCATACTTAGATATTTGGCACCTGAAGATAGCAGGACATCGTGAGCCAACCCAAATGGCTGGCCAACAACCTCCAAACAGCGCTTATGCATCGTCAAACACTTGTCCATCATGTGGGTGGGACCTGTGTGACCTGTGCTGTTGCGTACCTGTCAGGGCTTGGAGATCCTTCCGGGTGCTGAGCTAATGTAGGGGCCTTAATAATTTGAATAGGGTTTGGGGTAGTGGATCGCCGCGGTCTGTCCGAAGCCCTTCACTTTGTTCCTTCCTCGCCATGTACATTGGTGTTCCTTTTTGGCTATACTGTCTTACACCGTATAACCTCTGTGTTATATGAGGTTATAACATGTTATATGATTTCTTTTCTGATCAGGTTAGGCTATATCAAGTTATATCAGGTATATCTGCCTGCCGCAGTGGGGAGGTTCCCGAGCTAAGCCCGGGCCGCCAGGGCACCCTGGACAGCCTCAGAGGGCAAAGAACCCGGTGAGAGCTTGGTTACACTCTCACAACTCGGAGAAGCCAGGCGAGGTTCCATATGTGCTGGTTTGACGTGGTACTGATTGCATGCCCAGGCTTGGTGGGGTTTAGGGCTTGCGCTCTCGCAACTCGGACTGCGCCAGACGAGGTCTCTCGGTTCAAAAACACGTTGACTGGTCGATGCAAGAAGATGATTGCAAGGATTTTAGGTTTTGCAATGTTGTGCGGCTTGGGCTTCGGGCTTTCATGCCGGTCGGACGTGCTGGAATCGAAGCTGCTACAACGAGCAACAGAGTTGCCTCAAAAGTTTCTTCTCCAACCTCTGCACTGTGACGCGCTGGGCTGTCAGGGCAGGTTGCGTGGGGCTGCCGCTGCTGCCACCCGCACCCGGCCGGCGTGGGGAGGAGACCCGCACGGCCATGGGCGGGGATGCCGGCCGACCTGGGAGAAGGAATAGTGCATAAGGGCAGAGACACCGACATACATACGAGTATAACCCTAACCCTCCAGGTACCTACTATAAAGGGGGTCTAGGGGCTCTAGTACCGTATATAGTAGGTACCTAGGGGGTTAGGGTAAACCGGTATGTCCATAGGCACATGCCGTCTGCCACGCTCAGACGGGGGCCGCGCCTGGAAGCCTCGCAGCCTCCGCAGATCGAAGGGGTACCGCGGTGCGGCGCGCCTTCGTTTACTGTATGGGGCCTTCATAAATAGACTAGGGTTTTGGGGTACACTATACTAGAACTCTAAAAAGGAACACCCAAACTAGTACAGGTAATTATTAAGGGCCCTTTATTACTTTTGGTTTTTCTTTGCAAAGATCTTGTGGGTTTGTCGCTTGGGCCACTGAATTCACTGAATCGCCTTCTGGACATCGGCAGGGGCCGAACACACCTCACTCTGTGCTCAAAGAACGAATAATATATAGGGTCTCAAAAACAATAATAGGGTATTGCGGCGGCATATTATTCTTGTGTGTTTGTAAAAGGATTATACGGCAATGAAGGGTTCGGGAATGAGGGTTTATGGTTTGGGGATAAAGTTTGCGCTCCTGAAACACATGAGAGCACAAGGCTACTACTGCCCCCCGGGGAAAGCTTCAGAAGACAGAAGTCATTCATGAGTTCCGTGGCACTGGTAGTAATCCTGTTAAAGGTTTTCGATATCAAATATAACAACAATCAATATTTGCGACAGTCGTGGGATCATCACGCCCGGGTAGGCGGATCAACAAAATCTTCCGCTGGTCCTAAACCAAAGGCTCTAAGCTTGGTCCTAAAAATGCACGCGCCCCAACGACCACCGAAAGAACAAATCCAACCAGGAGTCCTGAGGTAATTGTCTGTGCGTGTGTACGTTTGTTTGTATTCTTCACATTCCTCCTCCCACTGCGCTAGGCCAAAATAAAAACACAAGGCGACATAAGGCCATCGATAACCGCAATAGTCTTCAGGGCGGGCAAGAGCCCCTTTCCCAACCGCGCCATTCAACACCACTGGAAGTTGCACCATCTCGCACGGTTCAGGGTTTAGGGTTTTGTATGCCTTTTGCAAGAGGCTTTCCACTTCGCCCGGAGTTGGAGCAAGCAGCCCTAGCAGCTTTANNACCCTAAACCCTAAACCCAACCGGCCCTTACCCGAAGCCTAACCGGCCCTAGCCCCTGCCTAAGCCCAAGCCACCAAGTGCCTGGTGCAAGTCAGAGGTGGAGGCTGCATGCCGGGGCTGCACCGGTGGAGGCGACTGCCCCTGACAAGCTTTATATATAAATACATACACATACACACACACACATATATATATATATATGTATATATATAGACACACACACACACATATATATATATATATATATATATGTATATATATATATAA